AGGCCCCGAAATCATCATACTCTTTGGGCCACTGGATGGCAGCATCGGGCATGCGACGCAGGATCTCCAGGAGCAGCTTGAGGCCAAACGTGATGTATCGGGAGATCGTACTGGGGATCAACGCGAAGATCTGTTGTAAACTGATCTCCCGCATTGTCGAGTTCAGATAGTGAAGGAGCAGCCCGAGCGCTCCTGACGCATCGAGGGATCGTGCACCTGGGCGGGTTTTCCCTGTACCCAGCGCATCTTCCCGGGGAATGGGGGTGCTGTTCCATGTTTGACTAAATCCGGCATCGAGGATGACGTTGAAGGTCGCGACGTCGAAGCCCATTGTCGTAATGTAGGCCCGGTCGCTTTGACTCCTGTACAGAACCTGCCATGGGGTTGCACCTCTGGGATCTCGGAGAAGCTGTGGACGACAGAGGTATAATCTGCTCGGCCTCCGGCGCTCCGTCCGTAAGCGATGGGCTTCAATCGCTCCTAGTAACATTACTGCGGTAGCAGTGCCTGCGAGCAGCTGTTCATCTTGTATGCTGTCCTCCTCGATAGCCTGCAACTCTTGGTGAAGAAAAAACGCGTCAAGATCCATCGGAGTCGAAGTTGGAACGCGTTGTAGGAGGCGAAGGCGCGTTAATGTGTACTATTGTACATTGTTTACTGATCGCGACTACAATAAATAAATGCTGCCGAACACTGCACTCTCGCGGCTGGTCGTGAATACCCGGCCATTCCGGTAACTCTATCGAAACTCTATGGAATTGCTTATGGGAACCCAGAATGAATAGATTTTGTGAATAAAAGGAGATGCCGACATCGTTGGCACCCCGCCGATATTCCCCAGGATTATTCTAAGCTTATGGAAAGTCAACCAGTTAGGATACAACATGACTTACATATGTTTTTGCATCCGCCGCTCTGAATTTCATCCTCTCTTGTTTCCATCATCATCCACTGGCATTCTTCATGATTTTTCCGGACTGTGGAGCACAAGAGGTGTTTGATCTCCTTATCGTGGATATATTCCCACGGGGGACCTACCCCCCAAATAAGGCAAGTCTGAGTCAGCGGCGCTCGCTCGGCCATCAGTCTACCAAACACCTGCAATCGACCACGACAGCCGACGCATCAAGCGCGTCCCATTCACCCGTTCAGCGCGTTTCGGCGCCAATCTGCAGCACCACCGATGGAGGGCTAGTAACCATGTGAATATTGTACATGCCCCACTGTCAAATAATCGAAATCTATCTTGGGAAAATGGCTCGTCTACATCTTGGCAAGATGTGTCGACATCTTGGCAAAATGCGTCGACATCCACCTTCCGCATAGCTCAAACTCCTCCCCCCCCCTTTCTTGACATCCAAAATCAACATCCGCCTTCCGAGATCGGAGATGTCCGTGTTGATCTCGTTGTTGCCGAAGCCTGTTCCGTGGTCGATCAGTGGCGCTCACGTGTACAGATCAACTTCCACGATCCAGAGATCGCTCACCCCTTGGTGGAGCATCTTCCATGCCGATATAGCTTCAACATGCCCCAGATGCCCGAGAAAACCAAAATACACCCACGCAAGTAACTACGCTGCTATGGATGTCCAGAGGAGCAGAGAGTGCCGCCCACATCCGAAATTTATTCGCATTTCACCGTCATATTCTATGGAGGTATTCCAGTGCGTGAGGTAACGGTGAATATCTCGGGCTTTGTTTGGGGTCGGTCTGTTGCTTCATTCCACTGCGACAAGATCCGCCTTCTTCCGTGTAGTAAAACGTGGAGCACAGCCGTGGCCAGTATTCCAGTATAATTACGAGCACCGGATACTCAAGTTGGATAACACCGGTGGGTCAGTTACCCGGCCACGGTTACAAGGAGTTGGGTATTAAAGCGCCCTTACAATCATGCACCCGTAGACACGCAAACGAACCCAATCACGGTTATTGTGCTCATCATGGAATTCATGTCAATGGCGAACTTCTTATGTCTGCATTCACCCATCCAGGATGTTACAAGAATATTAGGATATGTGCGGTCCAAAATCCCATTAATGGTGGCCTTTGGATAGAGGGAAGAAGGAGGGGAAGTCCCGCGTGAACGAGACTCTGATGGTCGCGACCGACGACCACACGCAGCACGGTCCCGCCGCGCACTATGCCCGCTATTCAGCCGGACACAACGCCCACGACGAAAGACTCCGCGCGGCGCCCCGCAAACAAAAGCTCCGCCACCTGTCCTCGTACCAACCGCGCGTATAGTCCTCCCGCCCAGGACTTAACCCACATCACGGACCGCACCACAGCTTCTGGGAGGTACGCCACCCACAGACCCTGCATCGGCTCCGCGCGCGACACCGACACTCCGCATCACCTCGCACCCCGCACGCCCACGTCCAATCGGTGGCTGCGTCTGCACAGCAATACGGTGATGCACGACACCCGGCCCCGAAGTCGCATCGACATCCCGCCGAAAAAGACTCGTTGATATACCCTTCCCCTCCGCCGCATGCAATACCGTCCTCGCGTACCACGCTGTCCCAGCCTAACCAGGCACGCAAACGACGACTCTGTGCTGGTGCACCCCCGCGCCCCCCGCGCACTGATACAACAACGCCATCCACGGACCCGCCCAGCCCGCCCAGCAGCATGATCATCACGGACCGACATCGACTCTCCGAGCCCGCCAGCGCTCCGCTCAGGCCCGCAGCTGCGACCAGCACCCCATCCGCTGGGACACTCCACCGTCGCCCGCGCCCACAAACGCGCACGAGATCACGCTCCACATCATCGCGCCCACAATGGCATCAAAGACAAAGAGAACCCAACGAAGAAAAGAAACGCACGTCCGATTAATATGCCTACCCGAGTTTCGCAGACGCGCGCTCGAGGCGGGGCACGACGGCCGTGGGGGGTTAAGGCGAGACGGGGCTAAGGAAAGAGTCAGCGAACGCAAAGAAGATGAGCGGATGGAAAAGGGAATGGAAAGGGGACGATAACGTAGGGCGTCTGTGCAGGGACGAAAGGGGCATGCAAATAGATGGAGTACAGGAAATAGAACAGACGGGGCGGGATGATCAGGGGACGGAGGGCGTGTGCACCGAGAGATGTATCCGACGAGCGGAGGCGCGGGGCACGGGGATCGAAAGAGGTGTGCTTGTAGTGCATGAAGGGCGGAGGAAGGCTTGGGATGTGCGGGAGGAGTGTGGACGCGGATTTGATTACGAAAGCAGGAAGGAGAGCGGAAGGATGACGCGGGGGTAAAGCGGCAGCCTCTCGTCAGGACGAAGGGCGGCGCTGAGAGGGAGCCAGGGGCGGCTGAACGGTCGGGGCAGAATAGGGCGAGAAAGGCGAAGGAATTGGACGAGGGAGCGGTAGAGGATCGGGGAAGAGGGTGCGCGCAGGATCGAAGGATCGAAGGAGCGAAGGGCGAGCGGGGCGAGGGGGACGGGGACGGAGGGAACTAGAGGACGACGGCGGTAGGGGTAGCTGTGAGAACGAGAGGAAGAAGGAGGGGATGGTGGTAACGGAGGACGAGCATTGATGCGCGAATGGTGGCGTGAATACGCGTAACACAATGGAGAGGGTGCGAGAGATCAAAGACGCGAAGACGCACCGAATACTGGACATCCCCAGCTTCGCCGGAATGACCGGCGCTATGCGGGGGCCCGCGAACGCGCCCTCGATGTCATCCGTTCAGCGAGAGGAAGGGCCCATGAGGACATGACTCTGTGGGGGAAAGTGTCAGCGGGTGGGCGCAGGGAGTGAAGAAAGAAGGAGAGATGCATACGATGGAGGGTGCGGAAATGTAGGGAGATGCAACCCGTACACCAGCTTGAACGATGCACACAGGCGCGCCGGGGAAGGACGGGAGGTGTAGGCGTGAATATAGAGGGGAAGGAGGAGGCACGCACTGAAGCCCTTCCCGCAGATGCGCTTGCGCGCCTCGCGCGCCTGCAGTGTATGCGCATCAGCTGGAAGGCGGCTGCAGAGGGCGCGGCGGCGGCGTGCAAGGCGGACTGGGCGAGGATGAGGCGGGCATGAGCGTCTGCGCGTTTGTGGTTCGCAGCAACATCGAGTAAGTAAGAGGGGGCTAGGAGGGGTGAGACTCACGCAGCCGGAGGCGGGCGGAGGGACGCACGGATTGCACGGGTTGGTCCCATTCGGCGGCGGATGGGTGAAGCGGTGGGCGAAGACGAGGGTCGAGGAGGAGTGGGAGAGCTGGATGTGGCGGACGGAATCAGAAAAGCGGAGAGGTGTTTGGTTCTGTTGGGCACGTGGTGGAGACAACCTTGACCGCAAACCACCTTGACCGTGAACTCAGACCGGCCTTATCGACCGTAGAAATTTCGGGCAGTTACACTAGGGCTAGGCAACTACCTCTTTGTTCGAATGCGTCACTCTTTGACCTCTGCGGCCCTCATTTGTCTCTCTCTTTCTGCACAGACTGCACTGTCATTCGAGACACATTCAAGTACGTACACACACAACACGAAGAAGGCCCGGTAGCGGATGGTCCGTCCCTGCATTCCATCTATAGATAGCGTCATACTTATTCTGCGCGCGGGAGTCGTTCGTTCGTTTCGAGCCCGGGTCTTGCTCGTGTGATGACGATTTCTTTCTCCTTGTTGCCGTTCGGGTATGCCTATCTAAGGTTGTGCACAGGTGATACGAGACAGGCCCGGTAGCGGATGGTCCGCCCCTGCATTCTATATCTGGGCTAGTGTGTTGTCGCAGGTGTTGCTCGTTCGAATCGAGCCCGGGTCATATTTGGGCGAGTTTTTTCACCTCCTTCCCTGCGAAATAATGCTCATATAATTTTGCACGCGGGGAGTCGAGGAAAGGCCCCGTAGCCAGGGGTCCATCCCTCCATCCAATTCTGAAAATCCACACGCATCCTTCTGAAGGTGTTGCTCGTTCGAATCGGGCCCGGGCCTTGGTCGTCGTACGGAGACAATTTCTTTCATCTTTTTCCACGAGGATGCCCATCTAATTCCATGCGCAGGTAAAAGCAGAAAGGCCCGGTGGTGGATGGTCCGCGCTTGCATTTCATGCCTTGATCTTCCAATTCTGCGGGAGTCGCTCGTTCGAATCGAGTCCGGGCCTTGGTTATGGCGTTGAATTGATTTTTCTTTCTGCATTGTGCTTTTTCTCGCAGTCGTTTTCTTTCCCCAAAAATATCGCGCACCTAATTTCGTGCGCAGATGAGAGAAGAAATGCCCGGTCGCGGATGCTCCGTCCCTGTGTTCCATCGTCTGAAACTCTCTGTATGCGGGAGCCTCAGCCGCCGCCGGGAGATGCTCGTTCGAATCGAGCCCGGGTCATATTTGAGTCCGCTTGATTTTTCCCCTTCTTTCCTGCGAAGTAATACTCATATAATTTCGCGCGTAGGCGATACCAGAAAGGCCCGGTGGCGGATGGTCCGTCCCTGCGTTCCATACGTTGGTTCTCGTAGTTCTGCAGTTGTTGCTCGTTCGAATCGAGCCTGGGTCTTATGCACTAGTGAGCTTTTTCCTCGTTTGCGTTTCCCCGGAAACGATGTCCATATAATCCATGTGCCGGTGATACCAGAAGGCCCGGTGCCGCGCCTGCATTCCATAATTCGCAAACCTCGGTATTCGCAGGAGCCGCTCGTTCGAATCGAGCCAGGGCCATCGTCATGGTATACTGTAAATCTTTTTGTCCCTCTTTCCTGTGAAACAATTCCATGCGCAGTGATATCAGAAGGCCCGGTAGCGGATGTTTCGTGCCTGCGTTCCATACAGTGAAAATTGTTGATCTGCAGGAGTCGCTCGTTCGAATCGAGCCCGGGCCTTGGTCTCGTACGAAGACAATTTCTTTCTCTTTTTTCCACGCGAGGATGCCCGTCTAATCTCATGCCAGGCGATACCAAAAGGTACGGTAGCGGATGTTCTGCGCCTGCATTCCACAACTGGCATATTCCTGGGTTCTGCAAGTGTGCTCGTTCGATTCGAGACCGGGTCATGTGTACGTTGCACTGATTTCCCCCCTCTTTCCTGCGAAATACTGCCCATCCAATTTCATGCGCAGGTAATACAGGGAAGGCCCGGTCGCGGATGGTCCGCGCTTGCATCTGATAATCCACAAATTTCGGGGCTCGCAGGAGTCACTCGTTCGAATCGAGCCCGGGCCTTGTGGCATTCGGAAGGTTGTTTCTCCCTCTACAGGTGAAAAATGCACATGTACTTTCGTCGCGGGGGATACAAGATAGACCCGATGGCGGATGTTCCGCGCCTGCATTCCATAATTAGGATAATTCCATGTCGCAGGAGTTGCTCGTTCGAATCGAGCCCGGACCTTGCTGTGGTCTCGTGGGTTTTTCCCCTCCTTTCCTTACAACAATGCCCATACAATTCTATGCGTAGGTAATACCAGAAAGGCCCGGTAGCGGATGGTCTGCGCCTGCATTTCATAACTGGGATAATGTGTTGTCATAGGTGTTGCTCGTATTTGGGCGAGTTTTTTCACCTCCTTCCCTGCGAAATAAGACCCATCTAATTTTGTGCGCAAGTGATACCAGAACGACCCGGTAGCGGATGGTCCGCCCCTACATTCTATAACTGACATAATTCGATGTCGCAGGTGTCGCTCGTTCGAATCGAGCCCGGGTCTTGATCTGGTCTCGATTGAGTTTTTTCGCCCCCTCTTTCTTGACACATTGCCCATCTAATCCCATGTGCAGGTGATAGACAGAGGCCCGGCGGCGGATGGTCCGCCTCTACGTTCCATATTCTAGAGTTTCGGAGTTCCTGAGGGTGTTGCTCGTTCGAATCGAGCATGGACCTTGTGGTATGCTCATCGGTTTTTTCTCCCTGTTTCATGAAAGCCACACCCACTTGAACAGGTTCACAGGTGATACAGGAAAGCCCAGCAGTGGGAGTTCCGCAGGAGTCGTTCGTTCGATTCGAGCCCGGGCCTCGTGGTGGTACGAAGTTCACTTCTTTATTTTTCCGTCTCGAGAACGCCCGTCCATTCCATGTGTAGACGATATCAGAAAGGCCCGGTCGGCGGTAGCGGACGGTCGCGCCTGCGTCCAATGTCCCAAATTCATCCGCATTCTGCAGGAGTCGTTCACTCGATTCGAACCCCTTGATTTGGTCACAATTGAGTTCTTCCGCCCCCTCTTTCTTGAAACAATGCTCATCTATTCCATGTGCAGTCTTGGTGGTGGGCAATACATCAAGCGATCAAATCATTTCCACGCCTCCGGTGCCGAATTGCCGACATTTTGATTGACCCAAGTTTTCCAACACAGATTCCGGACCCAAACCGTCGGCGTTCGCTTAGCTCAAAGGGAATGGTCCACATTAAATTGATCTACGGATGTTATGCCGAGGTGGATTTCCTGAATTCTCATTTCTAGTTGTGAACAAACAAAATCTCCTACTACAGCAGATTTATACACTTAAAGTGTGAAAATAAAAAATCCCCCTCGACATAAAATCTGTTTACATTTCTGGAGTGTATCACTCCGCAAGTGTCAAACGAACACCGATGATCTGAGCCCAGAATCCTTGTTTGAAAATGATAATTACACCTATTTTGACTGCAGTGATCGAGTCCATATCACCCCAGGAAATATGAACCAATGGTTCATGCCCTCTTAAAACAGGTATGAAAAACTTCTTATAGTGTCCCAGAATCACCCTACTCTTTGTCAAAATTTTATTCCGCTTGTTGAATAGATTTGTTGCGCCTTTCTTAGGTCCAGCTACGCAGAAGTGTTGAGATATCAATGCGCTCTGGTGACCTCAATTTCAGTGAGAAAAATGATGGTTCCAGAAAATGATTTGTATGGATACATGGTACATTTTAGCCACATTTAGTATAAGATAAATAGAACATTTAACCTTCTGCAACAGCCAAGCCCGCGCAGGCCAAGCCAAGCCAGGCCCGACGTCGGGCTTCAGCGAGCCTGGGGTTTTGGCCTGAAGATTTTCAAGCCCGAGCCAGGCCCGCAATCCCTGGCTTGGGTAAACATGCCTCAGTGGCTCATTTGTTCCTGTTATGTTCAACTAATTCGACTCACTTTATTGTTCCTTTTCCTGGCATGTTCGGATGATCGTCGAAGCATTTTTGGCCTGGTGCGAAAATTTGAAGCTCGCAACCGGAATAATCCAAAGTACAGTCGAAAACATGTTGAAAATATTTCTGAATGGTATGGATTAACACACTTTTCACTCCGGCTTCACTTCGTTTCAACCCACAGACATTTTAAAGAGGTGTGCAGAGTTAAGTCTGCCAAAGCCCTCAAGCCCGGGCTCAGGCCAAAGCCAGGCCAGGCCAAGCCCTAGGGATGGGCTTGGGCTTTGGCCTGATGAGTTCAACGCCCAGGCCCGCTCAAGTCAGGCCAAAGCCCTGGCTTTCAGGCCAAGCCGGGCCACGGGCATCACTAGTAGGTACTTATTACCAGAAAGGTCAGGTAGCGGATGGTCCGCGCCTGCATTCCATGTGTTGGTTCCTATTGTAGTCCTACAGGAGTCGCTCGTTCGAATCGGGCCCGGGCCTTGTCGTGGTACCAATGATGGATAGTGGGGTTGCAGTGGGGGATCAGTTTCAAGTGGAAAGTTAGAAAGTCCCGAGTTGTGTCAGTGTAGAGGCACCGTCCGGATGGAACGAAGAGTCTGTGGAGTATGGTGGTGGGAAGAGCAAGTTGAAATCACCGAGGAGGTACTACCAGCCTCATCGAAGCATGTCCCAACGGCGCTAAACTGATTACGGCTTGAGTCCATAGGACCCATTCAAGTTTGACAGGTGTCAGCGATCTGATGGCATCAAAGACACATTTCCGTACAGTGGAGCTGCCATTTGCGCCACCTACATATCTCACTAGTAATAGGGGAAGTCAAAGCGGTCAGGGCGGACCGATTCTCGTTCGATTCTGAAATTGATTCTGATGTCGATTCTGGGTCGAGAATCGATCAGAATCGGTGTTGCTCCTCCGGAGGAGGAACTCGACAGAATCGATCCAGAATCGATCCTGCCCTAAGCCGCCGTCCCGCCCTAAAATCTCTCACAAGTCCCGTGTAGTCACGCTCAATTAAAATTACATAAAACTCTTTCTACACCGTCGTCGACAACTATCTTAGTCTATCTACGGCCCACAGCAAGAAAGCTACACCATCAACACTGCCTACCAGCAAAAAGACGCAGACAGCAAAATGATCCAGAAAGGTTTTAACCACGTCGCGAACGCGGTGCTGGCGCGACGAAAGGCGAGGCATCAAGACGGTGGAAATGACACTGTAACAGTCAAAAATATGTATTTTCTCTATCTCTATGTGTAGCTCAGTTGGGAATTGAAACATGAATCCAGCTCAGAATCGAGCTCAGAAGCGGGGGGGTCAAAATTGATGTGGATTCTTGATCGATTCTCCGGCGAGAAATAGGCGAGAATCGCCATTAGATTCTCGCTTTGACTTCCCCTAATAGCTATCAAATATAACCCGTTCAGGCATATACCCAGTGAAAACAAGGTCTCGACCGGTATCAACCAGTATCGGCCCGTATTGACCAGGCTCAAATAATCAAACTCGAGTCCGGGCGATACGGCTCGATACCACATCTAGCAAAAATGGGACTTTGAGCAGTTTTGTATCGAGCTGTATCGAGCTGTATCGGAGGGAACAATCTTTGCTATTGCGCTGCTATTATTACATTCCAAATCGGGCCCCTGCCCTGCACCCTGCAGCGCCGCCGCCCTCCTGCTCCAACGGCCATCAGAGTGCGTGGGGCGTTGACCCTTGTTCGCGTCACCGCGGAGCGTGCTCCAAACGGCGCGCACTCGCCCCGTGTCTGCGGCCCTCAGGAAGTGTACGGCCGTCCCCCAGTCCGCCACGCGCGGGGCATGCATCTGCATCGAGACGACCCACAGCCAGCGCGAATAGCGCGTCGGAAAGAGTGCGAGGGCGTCGGGCGGGCTTGGATGAGGAATGTGAGGTGAGCGGCAGCTAACCTCAAGGCGAACGGTGCACATACGGAGAGGAGCGCGAAGAGTGTGTGCCTTCGTTTGTCTAAAACCACCGTGCTCGATGGTGTGTCAATTACGATGGACGGCGAACGGCATATTCGAAGTCGCCCTATACCTGAGCAAATGGTAAGATGATGGATAATGTGCGCTCGTATGATACACGCACCTGTTACCTGTTACCTGTGTGAGAGGACAGAACACTATTAAGCCAGATTAAGTCCCTCGTCACTTGAGTATGACGAGCGAAAAGAGATGTGCTGTACAAGCGCTGTGACTATCCCATTGAGGTTTTGTATCGATTCTGGCCTCTTGAAAGCTTGGGACTTTTTGTTCATGTGGTGCTTCGGTTTTGGTTTGACGGATTGAGACGCATCGGCTTGGGCGGCTTCGTCAATTTGCTTGTCTTTCTTGGGCACACTTGAGGGTCGTTTGTGAATAATGTTACGCTTGGCGCTTGGTATCTTGATAAGACTTCGAGCGCTTCATGATGACTCGGATTGTCTTGTACGAGAACGACGCAGTGCAGTTGGATCTGAGCGCAGATTGAGATACGCACACTGCAAGTGCAATGCATTGACTGGCCAGCGAGTTACCAGTAGCGAGAGGCAGAAGTGATAGCACCATTTGAAAGGGAGGTGCAGAGACAAGAGCAGCTAGTGCATCGGAGGGAGGAGACCCAATAGTGCCGTTGTTGAAGGGGAGAAGGAAGCCACCAGCGATGAAGAAAGAGTAAGAAGGCAAGACTCCGCCAGAGGCGTGACGTGGCATTGACTCATCGTCGCGCCGGCGGCTCCGACCGACTTGTAATAATCCGAATAAAATGCGAGTTGATTATACTGTATGATGTCATGGACTTGTTGTTGAGACGCGTTCAAGATAACATCGAGACCAGCCGATATTTCTGGGACTGCTCGATACTGTCTGATACCACCCGAGACCGTGATACCACCCGAGACCGTGTTTTCACTGGGCATTATACACGACGCGCCCTTCCTGTCATCGCCCACCCCGCCGGCAGCCGCATCAATCGTCCCGCGTCACATCAAACTAGCATGCCGAGTGCCGGCCGCTGTGCCGACGGCGCCGCATGATCGCTCGCACAACGTCCTATCATCAGGCGGGCGTTCAGGCCCGCGGTGGCAGTGCTGTGACTCAGTCCCGCTCACTGCTGCAGCTCGACGCCGACCGCCCACGGCGTCCCCGCGCATCGCGCGCCCCACCCCTTTCCCCTGATTGCCGGGCAATCCCGACGCTGACTGCCCTGCGTCGTGTGCCTTCCTGTTACGCGCGGGGTTGATGCGGAGGAGAGACAGGGGCCGCCGCCACCGGAGAGCGCGGGGGGGCGGGCGTAGGGACGGGGAGCGGGCCCCTATGTACTACGTAAGACGGCAGAGTTGACAGCAGAGAAGACGATCACGGCTGGTCTGAATTACGGCCTGCCGTCACTGCCGTGCCAGCGCATTCGCCTGGCGGTTAAGCCGCGTGTGGTCCTCAGCGGCCAAACCCAATTCTTCCATTACCCGGCCATCCCATCAGCCGTTGGAATTTGATCGTATTGGATGAGAGCTTCAGCATAGTACATGCACGTGACTCGGAGAGCATCATTTAAATTTTGGCCCTTAAGCGAGTGTTACCGACGCGC